TACCTCTTCAAACAGTCTTCTGAAATCAGGCTGTCGAGCAGAACAAGGCACTCGTGCAGCCACAGACTTTCACATGGTTTGAATTGAAGCAGTTGTCTTCCCTATACTCTCCCAGCAGCACCAAGCAGTGCCAGAGTTGATGCACTATCACCCGGGAGGTACTGAGCTGAAATGCGGAATAATCAGGTTTCATCATTATCTGTGAAAGTGTAGGACTGAATACAAGTTTTAAGTGAAATGTTCAGTTAAGAATAAGCCTCCCAAGAAGTAAAATATAAAAAAGCCTATAGCATGCACTGGAAATCGTTGCTTTTGACTGAAGCCTTGTCAGCTGTAAGAGTGCAGTGGGTATAAGAAGTCCATTGTTTGGATTGTAGTCTTAACTTACATATGAAAGTGTAATGGGAGGTGCTGCTGTCTCTGCATGTGGGAGAGTCATTGCAGGGGTATCTAGATGCTCTGGAGAATTGGACAGTCAACAACAGCATAATGTGCAACATAGGAAAATGCTGGGTACTGCATCTGGGACAGAGTAGTGTCTTCAGTAATGTGTATTAACTTTTGATTAGCCATGCCTGACATTGTCAGGCAGTTGGACTTCGTGGTCTTTGAAGACTCTTTCCATCTGAACTATTCTGTTCTATTTCTTTATTTATTGAGTGGAGACAGGACAAGGGGAAATGGCCAGAAACTGGAGCATAGGAAGTTCCGCACAAACATGCGCAAGAACTTCTTTACAGTGAGGGTGACGGAGCACTGGAACAGGCTGCCCAGGGAGGTGGTGGAGTCTCCTTCTCTGGAGATGTTCAAGACCTGCCTGGATGCCTACCTGTGCTACCTGGTGTAGGGAACCTGCTTTGGCAGGGGGGTTGGACTCGATGATCTCAGGAGGTCCCTTCCAACCCCTACAATTCTGTAATTCTGTGATTTACATTGTTCACATGACCCAGCTTTTTCTGTGTTAAGTTGGAATCACGTACCAAAATATGGTATGCACGACCCAAAGACAAGGCTGTTTATCACTAGTTTTTATGATGTGTGGACATCTTGTTTCTGTGAGACTGCTGTGGTCAGTGGCACTGATCTCTCTGCTGTTTTCTCTTGGCCTTTTGCTTAGGGGTTGCGCAGAGCCTGAAACATTTCAAAAGGAAGTTTAACACTATGAAGCTATAATTCGTCATCAAAATAAATGAGGAAAAAAACCTCTGTGTATAAAACATCATGTTAGTGTTAATGCTAGCTTCCTATTTCCATTAGCATCTTCTTTGCCAGCTTGGAGAGAGACCAGTATCTTCTCCAGTGATAGTGGCAAGAGGGGCTGGATATAGAATTTGACCATGCATGAGTTTAGAAAAACTCAGATACTTTTATGTAGAAATAGTTCTTGCTTTAAGTGAAAATAAGAAGCTGAGAACGGAATAAGAAATCATTCTGTTGTTCTAGAATTACAAAGACTTCTTTATTAAGCCATGATTTAAAAAAAAAAAAAAAAACCAAACAAGCAAACACCCTCCGAAAGCCCCAGTCAATGAAGAAATCCCTTTTCATCATAGAGGAATTACTCTTGTGAAGCGTGATGCTGCAGTTTCTTATTGATTCACTTTTGTATGTATCTACTCGTGTCTGGGAGGTTATGGTGTAGAATAGAGTTCTACATTCATTACTGAAGTCCAGGACTTGTTTCTTTGTGTGCTGCCTCCTCTCAATTGTCACTTTCAATCAATAATGCTGTGAGCAAATTGCTTCAAGCACATGTTCCTCCTTCAAAAAGATACATGTTGTTATTTTGACAGACAAACTAGAACCAGAGTAGTTTAATCTGATCCATGTATTTATTCATTTTCAGCAGGTCAGATTGTAATAGCAACAACAAAATAAACATGTAAAATTATTAGAGAGACAACTTCAGTGGAAGTAAAGGAGAATCAGAAGGCTGGGAAATCAATTTTATAAATCCATCATGGTACACATGTGCTCTTGCACATGAATTTTAGTTTATTTTTAAATATAAAGAAAATGAGGGGAATAAGGGTAACTTTTCCTTTTGTCTATCTTCTGATTTACTGCAATGCAATTTACAGCAGATAGGCAGTGCCACTGTAGGCACTATAGACAACAACTTGAAACAGATAATAAAAATTCTCAGTTTATTAGATTTGTTCTTCTGTGATTAAAAACATATCTTAACAGCAGACATCTGTTGGACAACTTACGTGGTTCCTTATTGTCTTGGTATGTGAGAAAATACTGCAGGCTGTATTGCTTAGCCTTGTTAGACACTGATACTTTGTGGATGCACAGGAAATTAAGCATATGCTCTCTGGTGGAGTTGTAATAATGTGGAAGTTTGGTGTAATCTGCTGAAATGAAAGAGTGCTGTTCCGTGTGCCATACCCTATGAAAAGGAAAAGGAGGAATGATAGAATCCCTCTTTCCTTTCCTGATTTCATGCAACGTATCTGATTGGCTGTGAATCAAGTTTGACAGAAAAAATGTGTGTGAGATAAGCAGCATGTTAACATCAAAATAACTTTGCAACTACTCCTCTGAAGCCCTGTACTATGGCTGTTTCGTAAAGAGCAGCATTGCGGAGGAGAGCACTGCATTCCCTGTTTTTCACAAAAGAAGTTGGATTAATTTTTTTTCTTCAGTAATCACTCTTTCTTTGGACTTGCTCAAATGGGGTGTCTCTTTCCTTAGTATGAGTGGGTTTCTTCTCATGAGCACAGCTGACCACATTTTTGAAGAGTGACTGCTTTGAAGTCAAAATAGCACTGTGGGCTGCTGACATGCAGCGTAATCAAGGCTATGCTTTCAAAGCAAGAGAGACCTTGTTATATCAAGGTGTTTCAGAGATATCCAGGACCCGTTCTGTGTTTTGCAAGTAAATGTGCAGCAATACTCGTAAAAAAAAACCACTCAGGACATAGTATTTATTTACTTACGTATGATTCACTGAAAGTTTTTGTTCGACAAAGATGTCATTGCAGGTAAAAAGCTTCATGGGCCAGGGTTTTTAAATGTTGAACCTTATCTGAATAAAAGTACACTGAAACTTATGATAGAGAATATTTCAATCTTTGTTTCAGGATGCAAAACAGCCTCTCTAGAGGTTTAGGATGGAACTTATCCTGAATCTAAATAATTATGACTTCCTGCTAAAATATTGTGATATTTTCCATCGAATTCAGGTCAAGGATGGTATTAGCAGTGGGCCACCATTTTAATGTTGTGGTGATTGCTGTTGAATGGTATCTCTCTATACTTCCACGAGGATGTAAAACTACCATAATCTTGCTGACAAACTAGTAGCAGCAGTAAGTGCAGAGTCCCTTATTTTTTTATTTTTTTTATAGTGAATACCAAATTAGCAATGAGCTGAAATTCAGTAATGGGCAACTGTGCTGTTCTAAGACATGGAAAACAACTGAGATAAGCCTTTGGATCTCAGGTCTTGCATCAAGTTAATGTGGTCATCAGCCAGGAAACATCAAGGTGAGAGTACTTTCTAAGCAGCTGCCAGTCTGCCTCTTCATGACTGCTGGTCATTGCTGCGGAAATGCTCATCAGAACTAAGTAAGGATCAGATAAGTAGTGGCTTCTCCATTCTTGCCATTTTCAAGTTCACACTGGAAATGTCTGGATTTTGTGTTGTTAAATCAGAGTGCAATAGATTCAATACCAGAACAACCAAGGTAATTCTGTGCAGTGTGGTATATGTTCATTAGGAAGAATCAAAGTTAAACTGGACAACTTTCTTTTTTGTTGTTGTTTAAGAGTAGAGATGGCAAAAGACTAAGGTAATATCCTGCCTAGTGGTTTTGTCTGGCTCCAAAGAGTTAATTTTCTACATGCATTTCAGCTGGATTCTCTCTGCTAGCTATATCTGAACTGAGTGATAGAGAAATTCCTTGGAGCTAAGCTGTGAGTGTAATGTGAAGAAAAATCAACACATGCTATGAGAAATCAGGAATGTCTTTTTAAAGTGTTTACCTTTAGTATGCTGTGTGACTAAGGGTTTTCCTTCCTGGGACAATGTGAGGAATATTGGTGGCATATACAAAAGACTCAGTGAGGAGAAAGTAAGGATGGCTGAGAAATTCTTCCTCTGTGAAGTGATGAAGGCAAGGCAACCAATACCTAGCAAGCATGGGGAGATGTTTTTAGCTGGTAGAAGCTGGAAGTGCCTTCGGGCTATGTTATACTAAATTGTATGAATTGAAAGTTGCTTATTTTTGCTGAGAGTTGGAGCTTTTCCTTTTCCAAAACTTTCTAAATAGGTGCTAGATAACTAACCTGCAACTTCTGTAGACTGTGGAACTATTTTCTTCTGCAAGATTTTTTCCTTTTTTTTTTTTTTTTAATTTATTTTTCCCTGGGTCTGATTAAGCAGGTGAAGTATTTTGTGTGTGTTATAAATAGCACATTTTTCCTAGAAAGTGGATCTTTGGTACCTGATGTCAGAATTATTAACTTTTTTAAACATACAGCCAGTGCAGCATTTTTCTGCCTACTTTCTTACAAATAAATATTCCAGACTAAGTGGATTGAAATAAAAGCACAATCTGCAGTTGCTTCTTTCAAGAAATACCAGATTGGGATAGTCAGTTTTGCTCTCCTGAGTTTTCTGTCTCTTCTGATTAGACGTTATCCAGCATTTAACCAAGAAGTCTAGGAAAAGCTTACACTTGTTTTTGGACATTGGTCAAATCTGACTGTGTTCTGATAAGGAAGATTTAAAACAGCAGGTATGTATGTGAATTGCACATTTTCAAGCAAAGTTGCATGGGCAGATGTAACAGTTATACAGCACTGCGTAAGCCCGTAAGCTTTCTTATGCACGAGATCCCTAAGTCTCTCCTTTTGATCTAAGGAATTCAGCAGGCATCACGTAGCGAATATTTGGCAAAACCAGGAATTGTTTCCACTTTGGTCTGCCACAAAAAGACTTATTCTGTCTTTACTGGTTGACTGAGTGATATATTTTTTTTTTTTTTTAGGAGGGCTGCTTAAAATGAGGAGGAAGTATAGACTCTGATTCTGAACTTGGTTGTCTTGGTATGTTAATTTTCATTAGGAACTAGAAAGCTCTACCTCTTTCTGTTTTTGTTTTTTTTTTTTTTTAATTTTTTTTTTTTATTTTTATTTTTTAACTCCCTGAAGTTGGAGCACCATCCTCACATGTTTTGCTGTGTCTTCTGACTGTTAATAATACTGCTGACTTCTTCGCCTTGCAGTGAACCAGTACCACAAGGAGATTGCCACATCAGATTATGGGAGTTTGCTTCACTTCCAGGCAGCTCTATTTAATATACATCTGCTATGTAATACATGCAAAAAACTAAAATGATTTTCAGTTGCGTTAGTCTTTATTGGATCTGACCTCTGGTCCAGGAGGTGAAGGGAGAGTGGAAAATGAAAGCTGATTTGGTATTAGCCTACTATTCGTATTAGAAAAAGTAAATGCTTCTGCGGTTTTCCTTACAGAGGTGTCTTTATTCATTTGACATGCCTTTAATAACTAATTCTAGTTGTCTGGTTGCCAAGATGGATTTCCTACATGCAGACTTAAAAGTGATTTTGTCCTCTTTGAATGTATGGCTTCAAATGATCCCAGAACAGCAAACATTAAACTTCCCCCTAGACCTTGAGCTTTTCTGAAGCGCTATAATAATATAAAAGGATAAGAATATTAGAAAAAATAAATAAATGAATTAAGCACACATCATATGATATAAGCAGGACAATGAAACTCCTTGTTTTTCTCTGCTAGTTGATATCTCTTTTCTAACATTGGACATATGCTGTGGATTTCTCACTGTAGCTATCTTATGGATTTTCATATTGTCATTCAGATACTCCTGTGGATGAGAATGTTTTGTATGTTTCATCTGAAAGCGAGAAGTCAGCAGACCCCCAAACTTCTTCACAAATGTCTTTGTCCACATGTTTTTCTCACACTATCACAGTTTTAAATAAGTATCAGATATGTGCTAGCTTGCACAGTACGAATCTGCTTAAAGAATTGTCATTTTAAAAGCAGAGCAGTTGTTTTGAAATGTAATTAAATATCTTGAAAAGTTTCAAATAAGTATTGCATTATTCTTTAAAGAACTCTGATTTTCATGCCATGCAAGTAATATCCATTTAATTTGCTACCGAATTGCAGTATTGGAATGTTTTTTGTTGATAAGGGTCTATGCAACATTACAGCACTTACTGCATCATGTGTGACACATGTTTCTATGCTTAACCTTTACAGCTAGGATATTTGAGCCTGCTTTAATCAAATGTTATGCTACTAAGTGGGTGTTATTCTTTAAAGCTTCCTTGCTGAGGAAACGGATCTGAGTTTTCTTATGTCCACCTGCTGGACCTTGCTATCAAATTTAATAGACTCATAATTTATGACAAATTGGCACATGCTGGAGACCAAAACTTAAATTTGGTTGCCTCTGTTCCTTTAGCCACCCCCCCTTTTTTTTTTTTTTTTTTTTTTTTTTTTCTCTTGCAAACATCCCAATGCTCCTGTTACTAAGCAGGTATTTACTGAAAGATGCATGTTGATGTTCAAGAAATGTGTAGATGTGACACTTAGTCAGCACGGGGGTGATGGGTTGATGATCGGGCATGATATTAGAGGTCTTTTCCAACCTCAGTGTTTCCATGATTCTGTGCCTACATTCTTGGGAAACCAGCAGCTCCTTGCAGGAGACAGAGTGGAGAGATGCTGAAGTTCTTCAAGTGCTAGAAGTCTTCTGTCCCTTGCAGAGGTTTCTGGCCATCCCTATGTTGCCTTTTCACAGCTGTTAAGACTGGCATCCACTTCAAGCAACCCTTTCAATGCTGCTGCATGCAAAGTCGTTGGGGTTGAATTTCACACCTCTCAGGGTAACTGAGAGGAGGATTTGCCCGGTTACTAAAGAATGTGAGGCTAATAATAGAAGAGCCCATGCAAAAAATGTTGCTTTCAGCTCCAACAAGCTACAATGTAGCTAAAAGTAATGGCCCCACGAGGGCCCTTCTTTGTGGATCTACTGATCGAACTGACAAATATTTTTCCATGTATACCACACAGTATTTTATACCATCTTTTGGGAAACTTAGGATTTCTTTAGCGAATGTGATATTGGTATGATGGGAAGAGTCTTGTGAGTGCCCTTCAGAACAGAAGGAAGTCAAACCCTGGGTAAAGAAATGCTCTCCTTTCTCTGTGTCCCTGGGTCAGCTGTGCAAATGTATAAGAAATGTAGCAAAAACTATCCCAAAAAGCATGACACGTCTGTCAAATTTCTTCTAGTATTCTCGTACAGTTCTAAAGCTCTCATGTACTGAAAATTCAAGTCTAGAACTTGAATGTGGAGATAGCATTGTGCTGGAAGGGTGCCAAAAAAGCTCCTTGATGAGCTGCTGATGTAGAGCAACATGCAGAGCTTAACAAAAGCATGTGGGATCTACTTCAGGTTCTTATGTGGAAGAATGGGGCCTCTGACATCAATCTCATTTCACTTTCTTCAAAAAAGCTTTTTAAAAGTTATGTACTTAGATATATTGTGGAGTTTCGGCTTAAGGTTTAGCCCTGTTAGTGAAATCAGCAGTGCTGTCTTATGCGGTTTCTTAAAGTAAATGTCCAAGTCCAAAGCCCTTTCCTAAGGATTCCCACATGTAGAGATGCTTCTGCTCTGTCCTAATTAACATACACCAGGAAGTTCAACTCCACTGTGAAATAAATGGAGACATCAACTTACTTGTCTGGATCCTAGAAAAATCCTAGTGTCAAAGATAGTAGTAAATAGATAACTATCTTAAACTGTTCTCCCAGTAAAGAAGGCAGTGCATAGATAAATTATCAAGTTACAGATTCTCTTGACTAAAGTTTAACTGTTTAAATAGATGCAGATTTTTAAACAGTTTTGTGATAACACATCTTTTGCCAGTTACTGTGTTTGTAAACACTGAATGTTAATTGAGAATACTGCTACCTATGAGCCTGCATGAAGTTAAAGGAATTATTGGAGGATGGGGTGTGGGGGGCTTGGCTGGTTTATTGCTTGACTAATCAGAGTGTTTCAGTGCCATTAATTACACTCAGTGGCTAAGCCTGTGTGTAAGTTAAAGACTTAAAAATGATCTGATTTGAAGTTCTTTTCTATTTCATTTTGTAGGTAGTGTAAGTGATTTTGTGTCATGAGAAAATGTATACAACACTGATAAATCCATAAAGTATTTGACCTTTAATCAATCCTAATATTTTCAATCCACAGAGCCTTCTTAAATGGCTGTAACCTTAGCCCTTTCACTGCCATTCATCACAATTACTGTTAGAGCTGTCTGATGCAATGCATAAAGCATTGCATGTTGACATCCAATATTTGATCATTAATAATAATAATAATAAAAAAAAATTGTTAGAAACATTCCAAGTGCTTTTGCTGTTCTGATATTTTCCAGTGCAGTGCCCAGGAGAAGAAAAGGGACAGTTTTGATTTATGTCAGTGCTGGCAGATATTGTTAATTGATGTTTACTGTTGGCAGAATGTAGGCATAGTTGATTCTCTAAACAACTTGATGCTTGATGCTACATTAATTTTCAGTGATTGTTAACCCTTTCATAATGAGAATAGCGTTTGTAAAATATTAAGGTAGTGTATGGTTTACATTTTATGAGAGTTTTGGAATCCCCAGATAGTAATAGGCATTAATTGAGAGCTTCTGGCCAAGCCAAGCAGACCTTGCTTGTGCTAGAATACGTGAGTTAGGGCTAGCAGGATGGTTACAACAGATCTACTGTTTTCTTCCCTTTCCAAAGGCTTTTATTGCTGTCTTGATCAAGGAATGCTGCCGCGATGGAGAGAAGTGTTAACAAAATTTACCCGTAGAGGGGCTGTTTTCCATAGATGACTAAATGATCTGATGCAGGGAATGCTGGACGGCTTGTGGAGAAACTTGTAGTTTTGCTGCGCATGTGGGCATTTCTTTTACCCTTTCTCGGGCCTTTTACTTTCCGCGTGCTTTGTCAGTGGAGATTTCAACATTTTTTTTTCTTGGGCAGTCTCCTTACATACATTCTTTTGACAAGTATGAAGAATAACACATTTGGATTGAGATAAGTATGATAATATTTCTGAAATTCTCTCTTGTGTAACATAAGCTTTCACATTCACCTACGATTCATAACACCCTTGAGGCTGTAGGTGCTGCTCAGGTTTTTTTTCCTGAAAGAGAACTTCCATTGTCTTTGCGTCCTGAATGAAATATGACCTGTCCTATATGAAAATAACACTCAGATATGATATCTCACTGCTATTTGTCCCGTTTGAGACTTACAACAAGCTCCCCACATCTCTCTCATACAGAACCAAAATACTCTTTAATTAAAGAGTATTACATATATTTATTTGTGTAACTTTATATATTTCAGAATAAGAAAGTATCATGACTACTTCAACAAAGAAAGGTCAGAAGTGCAAAGCAACGGCTATATTAATGCTTTTGTACATGCGAGCTCTGTCTAAGCTAGAAGGGCTTTATGTTCTTTTTCTCCATCTTGTAGATTTTTCTTACCATAGTTTTTATAGGTCTTAACAATTTATTAGCAGGAATTATACTTTTACAGAAATCATGAAAAAATGACATGGGAAAATGATCTAAGTCCTCTCTCCCCCCCCAGCTATAGTTCTCTGTTTTCATAGCAATTTTGCCAAGCCAAACAAAAATGATTAAAACTGAGCAGTGATGTGTAAGAATTAGCATGATATGTCTCTGGAATACTGGATGGAAGAATGAACGAGATTTCATTTTTACTGTAGTTACCCTATAGACTCTCTGTCTGTGCTGTTTGTGTTGGTGGAAATTTCACAGGAACGTCATGGAAAGATTTGCAAACTTCTGGCCAGGTTGATCACTAGCTGCTCTGACATCCTCCCTCCGTTGACAGGGTTGATATTAACTTCAATATAAAATCAGCTCTGTTCCAGAGTGCTCAGTGATCACATCATTTGAGTGCAGGAAATACAGATTGTGACTGTGTGAGGGCACCCACAGGTAGGAGTGCCAGA